TTGTAAGGCAAAATTGGCAGAGGAGCCCTTTCTGTGCCGTTATATGCCCTGGGGAATTCAGAGAAGCACGCCAATTCTGGAGAGAGAGGGTTCCCCTTGAGGTCATCCAGGCCAACCCCCTCTCTTCGGCTGGCTGGCTTGTTTGTTTGTTTGTTTGTTTTACTTATTTACTTATTCATTTATTTATTGATTATTATTTTTTTCATCTGGCATCACAGAATACAGCTCTTTCTGTGCATTATATGCCCCGGGGAATTCAGAGAAGCACGCCAATTCTGGAGAGAGAGGGTTCTCCTTGAGGTCATCCAGGCCAACCCCCTCTCTTCTGCTGGCTGGCTTGTTTGTTTGTTTGTTTGTTTGTTTTACTTATTTACTTATTCATTTATTTATTGATTATTATTTTTTTCATCTGGCATCACAGAATACAGCTCTTTCTGTGCATTATATGCCCCGGGGAATTCAGAGAAGCACGCCAATTCTGGAGAGAGAGGGTTCCCCTTGAGGTCATCCAGTCCAACCCCCTCTCTTCGGCTGGCTGGCTGGCTGGTTTGTTTGTTTGTTTACTTACTGATTTACTTATTCATTTATTTATTCATTATTATTTTTTTCATCTGGGATCACAGAATACAGCTCTTTCTGTGGGTTATATGCCCGAGGAATTCAGAGAAGCACGCCAATTCTTGAGAGAGTGGGTTCCCCCCGAGGTCATCTAGTCCAGCGGTTCTCAACCTGTGGGTCGGGACCCCATTTGGGGTCGAACGACCATTTCACGGGGGTCGCCAAACAACGCAGTCCGCCATTTCCCCCCCCTTTTCCTTAGCTGTGTTCCTCCCTTTTCTTCTATTGGCTTTTGAAAGCCAATAGAAGAGACTCTCTTGAATAGAATCTAATTCTATTGGCTTTCAAAAGCCAATAGGAATTGTCCGGGCTGTCTCTGCCCTGCTGAGCCCGCCAAAAGTCCCATTCTGCAAATGGGGCTGCACCAGTTGAGTAGTCCTCGACTTACAACCGGTTGAGTAGTCCTCGACTTATGACCCGTTGGGGGTCGCGGCATTAAAAAGGTTGAGAACCACTGTTCTAGTCCAACAGCTTCTCTTTGGCTGGCTGGCTGGCTAGCTGCCTTATTTCTTTATTTATTTACTTACTTACTTAATTTATTTACTTATTCATTTATTTATTTATTCTTTTTTTTTTTTCATCCAGCGTCACAGAATACAGCCCTTTCTGTGCGTTGTATGCCCCGGGGAATTCAGAGAAGCATGCCAATTCTGGAGAGAGAGGGGTTCCCTTGAGGTCATCTAGTCCAACCCCCTCTCTTCGGCTGGCTGGCTGGCTAGCTGGTTTATTTATTTATTTATTTAATCATTCATTCATTCATTCATTTACTTATTCATTTTTATTTTTAATCCGGTGTCACAGAATACAGCATTAGGGCCTAAGGATTCTACAAAAACAGTACACCAAACGGGTGTCAGAATGCGGGGAGTCCCCGACTTACGACCGCAATCGGGCCCAAGATGTCCGTTGCTAAATGAGACGTTTGCGAAGTGAGCCTTGCCCCGTTTTACGACCTCTCTTGCCTCCGTGGTTAAGCGAATCGCTGCCACCGTTAAGCGAGTCCCGCGGTCGTTAAGCGAATCTGGCTTCCAACCCCCATTGACTCTGCTGGTCAGAAGGTCGCAAAAGGAGATCAGGTGACCCCCCCTCAGGACGCTGCGACCGTCGTAAGTACGTGTCGGTTGCCAAGTGGCCAAATTTTGATCACGTGGGGATGCCACAGTGGTCGTAAGTGTGAAAAACAGGCAAAGGTCACCTTTTTCAGTGCTGTTGTAATTTTGGTCACTAAGTGAACAGTTGTAAGTCGAGGACTACCTGTACACCCCCACTCCCACCTGGAGTCCCTCAGTGAGGGAAATGGGTGGTTTCTAAATGAATAAATACATACATAAATTCTTCCTTTCTCCCTCCCTCCCTCTCTTCCTTCCTTCCTTCTTTCCCTCCTTCAACCTTCCTTCCTTCTTCTCTCCCTCTTTCATTCCTTCCTTCCTTCTCCAGTCTTCCTTCCTTCCTTCCTTTTTATCTATTTCTCTCTCTTTTCTTCCTTCCTTCTTCTCTCCCTCTTTCAATCTTCTTTCTTTCCTTCCTCTTCCTCTTTCTCTTTTCTTCCTTCCTTCTTTTCTTCTTCTCTCCCTCCTTCAACCTTCCTTCCTTCTTTCCTTCCTTCCTTTCTCTCGATCTATCTCTTTCTGTCTTTTCTTACTTACTTCTTCTCTTCCTGTTTCAATCTTCCTTCCTTCCTTTCCTCCCTCTTTCAACCTTCCTTCCTTCCTGTTTATTCTTTTCTCTGTCTTTTCTTCCTTCCTCCCTTCTTTCCTTCCCTCCCTCCTTCAACTTTCCTTCCTCTATTTCCCCTTCCCCTTCCCCTGTTCCTTCCTTCCTGTCTATCTATCTCTTTCCCTCTTTTTTCTTCTTTCCTTCCTTCTTTCCTTCTTCTCTCCCTCTTTCAACCAACCTTCCTTCCTTCCTTCCTCTATTTCCCCTTCCCCTATTCCTTCCTTTGTTCCTTCGTTCCTTCCTTCCTTCCTTTCCTTCTTTCCTTCCTTCCTTCCTTCTTTCCTTCCTGCCTTCCTCCCTCCCTCCCTCCCTCCGCTCATTCATCCTTTCATTCTGGATTGGATTTTCTCTCCTCCCTCCCAGGGACGTTGGCCAAGACCGGCCCGCACAACAGGGGCGCCGTCTGAGATATTTTCAAGGTTTCCGTTTGCGGGACTGGAACCCTTTCAAAGCATCCCCCGCGGCCTCATCCTCTGCCCTTATTTCATTTCTGCCATTTATTCTGCCCCCTGTTTGCAAGCATCCAGCTCCTTCTCCCTGTTGTTTGTGGCTGGCTACTTGTCTGAGGCTCGAACAATACCGCACGGCGATCAAGTGTGTGCTTGCACAAATTGTGTTCCCTTCGAGGAACATAATGGAAGTTGCCATCAATTGCGGTGATTTCTCTGCTCCGAGCCCAGCTTGTCTCTTAACAATGCAATTCTGCACAGTACAAGAGAGATAAAAAAAATCTTCTTTTTCGCGACATGCAGCTCAACGGAGCTATTGATCTGCGCCCGACGGGAGGGTTTTCCCTGGCTGGGGAAAAAAAGGGATTTGTGACCTCGGGATCACACTTTCCTCGCCAAGGGCAGACTGGTGGGAACTGGGGATTGTTGGTTTTTAATGCCCTGGCTTGTCTTCCACCCGTGGGAGGGGGGGGGGAAGGGGGTCCTTATCATTAAATATCTGTTTGGGAACAGGAGCAGAAAGGAGAGGAGCCCCCCCCCCCCCTTCAGGGGACATTTAAAATGTACATTTTGCGTACTGTTTTTATGTTTTCATCGTTTTTCACTCGTACGTTGTCCAGAGTCCCTCTTGAAGCAGAAGGGCAGTTTTTAAAAATTAGATGATAGCTAGCCAGATAGCTGGATGGATGGATGGGTGGATGGATGGATGGATAGACAGACAGATAGGCAGACAGACAATGGAAGTCAGACAGAATAGATTAGAGAGATAGATAAGAGAGCAAGAGAGGAGAGAGAGAGAGAGAGAGAAGAGCAAGAGAGGATAGATAGATAGATAGATAGATAGATAGATAGATAGATAGATAGATAGAAAAGAGCAAGAGAGGATAGACAGATAGATAGATAGATAGATAGATAGATAGATAGATAGATAGATAGATATACAGACAGACAATAGATTATAGATAAGAGAGAGGATAGATAGATAGATAGATAGATAGATAGATAGATAGATAGATAGATAGATAGATAGATAGATAGAGATAGATATACAGATAGACAATAGATTAGAGATAGATAAGAGAAAGACATAGATAGACAGACAGACAATGGATTATAGATAAGAGAAAGAGGATAGATAGATAGATAGGTAGATAGATAGATAGATAGATAGATAGATAGATAGATAGATAGATAGATAGAGATAGATATACAGATAGACAATAGATTAGAGATAGATAAGAGAAAGACATAGATAGATAGACAGACAGACAATAGATTATAGATAAGAGAAAGAGGATAGATAGATAGATAGATAGATAGATAGATAGATAGATAGATAGATAGATAGATATACAGACAGACAATAGATTATAGATAAGAGAAAGAGGATAGATAGATAGATAGATAGATAGATAGATAGATAGATAGATAGATAGACAATAGATTAGAGATAGATAAGAGAAAGAGATAGATAGATAGATAGATAGAGATAGATAGATAGATAGATAGATAGATAGATAGATAGATAGATAAGAGAGAGCAAGAGAGGTTAGATAAACAGACAGACAGACAAACAATAGATTAGAGAGAGGTAGACAGATAAGAGAGAGAGAAATATTGTTAAGTGAATCATGTGGTCATTAAATGAATCCAACTTCCCCCATTGGCTTTGCTGGGCAGCTGGGAGGGTCACCAACGGTGATCACATGACCTCAGGAGACCGCAACCAACCTAAATACAGGCCAGCTGCCAAGCACCTGAATTTTGATCACACGGCCACGGGGATGCTGCCACGGTCGTAAGTGTGAGGACCAGCTGTACGTCACTTTTCTCAGTGCGGCTGTAACTTTCGTCAGGACATGAATGATTGTCAGTCAATGTCTATGTCTATGTCAGTCAATGTCTATGTCTGTCCAGAACAGCTGCCTTATTGGGTTTATCCTCATTGAAACCGATGCACCGTATAGTTCGGTTGCCAAATTCCACATGGCCACTAGGGGTGGAAGGGAGTGGGTTTTGTGCCTGGCTTTGCTGCCCTCTGGTGGTTCAGCTGAGTTCTGCAGCCCAGGTATCGCCTCGAATCAATACAATTTTGTTAAACTTTTCCCAGGTCAGCTGAGGTAGATTCCAGACTAAAAAATACACCCTTGCAGGGGTTACTCCCTGGAGCAATTACCAACTTCATTTATTCAATGTGTTTCCCTCTTTGTGTTACAGGAAAGAGTGTTTGTATACCTCCTGGATGAGGAAGCTCGTCTGACCTGCAGCGATCCACCCCATGACTTCCCGCAGGAGGGCCGACTCAGGTGAGTGCTTCCCAAGGACCTGGGCTAGGCAGATGTGGACGTTTGATTGTGTTGCAGATATTGTCGCAGGATGTCAGCTGTTCTGAGCAAAGCAGCCTTTTGCAATTGACTGATAGTGAAGGTCAGTTGTCAGTGCCGTGTCAACGGTGTTCATGCGATGCTCCAGATTGCACCCAACATGCCTATGACTATTGGTGCTACCTTTGCTTGCTTTTTGTCATATTCCTATTTGTGGGTCTTTGTAATTTGGGATCTCCTGTGGTTGCAGTGTCTCTGGAATGTGTGATCCCATTTTGCTTGCAACAGACTCTGCTATTCCGTTATTGAGTGGAACGGCTTGCCTTCAGAAGCTGTGGATGCTCCAACACTGGAAGTTTTTAAGAAGAGACTGGACAGTCATTTGTCTTGAAATGGCATAAGGTTTCCTGCCTGAGCAGGGGGTTGGACTAGATGACCTCCAAGGTCCCTTTCAATTCTGTTATTCGGTTATTTAGTGGAACGGCTTGGTTTGGCTTCAGAAGTTACGGATGCTCCAACACTGGAAGTTTTTAAGAAGAGACTGGACAGTCACTTGTCTTGAAATGGCATAAGGTTTCCTACCTGAGCAGGGGGTTGGAGTAGATGACCTCCAAGGTCCCTTCCAATTCTGTTACTTGCTTATTTAGTGGAACGGCTTGGCTTGGCTTCAGAAGTTGCAGATGCTCTAATACTGAAAGTTTTTAAGAAGAGACTAGTCAGCTGTTTGTCTGGAATGGTATAGGGTTTCCTCCCTGAGCAGGGGGTTGGACTAGATGACCTCCAACGTCCCTTCCAACTCTATTATTATTATTATTATTATTATTATTATTATTATTATTATTATTATTATTATTATTATCGATCATCGCACAGTCAGCCAGATGTTCAGACTGGATTTGGCATTTTGTCTATCTATCGAGTCCTAACCCAGGACCTGGGATAGGCAGATGTGGATGTTTGATGGTATTACAGATATCGTCGCAGGATGGAAGCAGTTCCTAGTAAGGCCGCCTTTTGCAATTGACTAATATCGAATTTGTCAATGCCAATGGTGTTCAAGTGGTGCTCCAGTTGTTTTGGGATTGCACCTAAGGATCCTATGACTATTGGTACTACCCTTGCTTGCTTTTGCCACAATCTTTCTATTTCTATTTGTAGGTCTTTGTATTTTGTTATCTTCTCCAGTTCTTTCTCTTCTATTCTGCTATCTCCAGGCACTGCCACGTCCACTATCCAGACTTTTTTGTCTTTCTTATCGACAATTGTTAAGTCTGGGGTGTTATGTTGCAGGTGCTTGTCTGTTTGAATTCTGAAGTCCCAGAGCAGTTAATTTTATCATTTTCTATGACTTTCTCTATTTTATGATCCCACCAGTTTTTGCTTACAGGCAAATGATATTTTTTGCAGATCTTCCAATGCACCATTGTTGCTACTTTGTCATGCCGCTGCTTGTAATCAGTTTGCGCAATCTTCTTGCAACAGCTTACCAAGTGGTCCACTGTTTCTTCAGCTTCTTTGCATAGGCGGCACTTACTGTCTGTTGCTGTCTTCTCAATTTTGATTTTGTATGCATTTGTCCTTAAGGCTTGGTCTTGTGCAGCCAGAATTAATCCCTCGGTCTCTTTCTTCAATTTTCCTGCTCTTAGCCATTGCCAGGTGTTATTATTATCTGCTT